AGGATTAGGAATATTAATTTTCCCCAGGTTCTTCCCAGAGAACAAATAATGAGGATTAGGAATATTCATGTTTTCCCAGGTTCTTCCCAGAGGACAAATATTGAGGATTAAGAATATTGATATTTTCCCAGGATCTTCCTAGAGAACAAATATTGAGGATTAGGAATATTAATGTTTTCCCAGGTTCTTCCTAGAGATTAAGTATTTAGAATTATATCAAGGATTAGGAAAGTTAATGTTTTCCCAGGTTCTTCCCAGTGAACAAATGTTGAGGATTAGGAATATTAATGTTTTCCCAGCATCTTCCTGGAGAGCAAATATTGAGGATCACATTGAGGATTAGAAACAATAATGTTTTCCCAGGTTCTTCCCGGAGAACAAATATTTAGGATTATATCAAGGATTAGGAAAAATAATGTTTTCCCAGGTTATTCCTGGAGAAAAATATTGAGGATTAGAAACAATTATGTTTTCCAAGGTTCTGCCCAGAGAACAAATATTGAGGATTAGGAATATTAATGCTTTCCTGGGTTCTTTCCAGAGAACTTCCATTTGCTGTGAGTGTGAGAATAACAGGAAAACAGCAGGTTTGGAATCTCTGTTCCAGAGAAGATCTTGAAATTTTGTCTTCTGACCCAATTTTGCACAATGTTCCCAAAAGGTAACTTTGGAAGGAATATCCCCATTTCTTCCAGTGTATTCCTATTTTTATGGGATTTTTCAGCCTAGCCCAAGGCTGCTGTCTATCAATACCCTTTGGGGTCAGTCCTGCACACCAATCTCCCCTTAATTCTGTTAATTATGTTTAAAACCTCCAGGGCTAAATGCACATTTCCAGCAATGCAACCCCAAACCCTGCAAGAACATGACCCTCAGACTTCTCCCAGCTTTTCCATCACTTCCCAAACACGATTTACCCACGCCAGGGAATTCCTGCTTCCTGCTCAGAGCCCAACTCCATCTTCCCAACCCTGGGAAAAGCAGATTTTGCTCCGAGTTCCAGCTGCTCCAGCCCTGCTGGGCAGCAATTCCTCACCTTTTCTTGGGAAGGGAGCTTGCACTGGACTGGGCACCAGCATTAAAGGGAATGGATTGGATATTTGGAAGGAATTCTTCCCTGTGGAGGTCTCTGGGATGGAATTCCCAGAGAATCTGTGGCTGCCCCATCCCTGGAAGTGTCCAAGGCCAGGTTGGAGCAACCTGGGCTGGTGGAAGGTGTGGAAGGGGCTGGAATGACATTTTAAGTTCTCTTCCCACCCAAACCGCTCTGGGCTTCCAGGGGGTGGAACTGGGTGGGATTCAAAGTCCCTTCCAGCACCAGGAATGCTTGGGAAAGAGGGAGAAACCCTGCCCTTGGAATCAGCATCCTGAGCAGCAGCAGAGGGTGGATCCAGCTGGACTCACCTGGCTCAGGGACATCAGGGGAGAAAAGCTTCCCAGAAAAGCTTCCCAGAGCCATCCCAGACTGGCAGGAAGCTGGAAGGAGCTTGGCCAGGGGAAGGAATGTGTGAGTGTCTGCTGGGCAGGACATGGAGCAACGGGAGAGCCCGGCCCAGGAATGCTGAGCCCAGGACCCGGGTCGGGTGAGGATAATGCCAGGGAGGCTTCCAGCTGATGGAAGAGCTCCCTGCTTGCATCGAGTGAAACATTCAGCAGGAATCCAGCAAAGCTCCTCCAGGGAAAACGCTGGATGCAGGGAATTTGCTGCCCCCTTCATCCTGCAGCTGGTTAAGACCGAGGGAAAAGCACTTAAGGGAAAACAAAAAATGTGTTTAAAAACAACTCAAAATCGCAGAGAAAAAGCCACAGAGGGGAAAAGTGCTGCCCAGGCTGGATGGGCACCATTTGACCATGCCACAGATCAAGGTTGGATCAGAGGTCCCTTCCAACCCAGCTGATTCTGTGACTCTCTGATTCTTCCCACGTGGTTTCTCCTGCATCCCCCTCGAGGACACACCTTTGCCACGGGGGCAAGTCCTGCCTGGCTCTACCCCAGGAGTGGCAGTCACGCTCCCTGCTCCCCAAAATTGGGTACAGCCTGTTTGGTTCCATACCCTCCCCTCTCCAATTTGCAGGCCTTTTAACAGGGGAAGGCTCATTGCCTCCCCAAACCTCCTGTTTGCACCCTGGAGACTCTCTGGAGCCACGGGGCGACCTGACCTTTCAAAATCCTGGAGCAGATCCGCCAAGATCCATAAAAAGATCCATAAAAGCTGTTCCTGGTGATCCCCCAAGAGCTGCAGGACC